TTTATTCTGCAAAAACTTCCTAAACACTGTCAGAAAGTCAATGTTAGTTGGTAAAAGGAGGGGGAGCTAAACAGAGCTTGGAAACATTACCTTCTGAGCAGCGTTTCTCACTAGGCCAGCATCTCCCAGGACTTTGTCAGAAATGTAAATTCTCAGGCCCACCTTAAATCTCCTGAATCAGAAACTGGGGGTGGAGCCCAGCGGTGTGTGTGTCTAACACGCCATTCAGGTGATTCTACTGTAGCTTTGGGAGCCACTGTTAGAAAGAGGCTTTACTCCACCCCAGATGGACCGGTGTGTGAGGTTTATTGGAAGAAGCTAGAGGCGGAGGAGAGGATGGACCCCGCAAACAAGAGCAGGCAGCACCATGTGTTGGAAGCACGTGGGCCGTGGAGGGGCCCTGATTTCTCTCTTCCTTGGGGAAATGGAAGTGCACATAGTTTAAAGTGCACATAGTTTAAAGGAAGCAAAAATAATATGCCAGAAAGCTTGGGGGTGGAGTGGAGTTTATGTTAAATAACACATTCTTGTATTGAGGGTCCCTGGCAAGAACACATGTATTTGAGTGATTTCAGAGAAATGGCTGTCATCTTGGGGCTCTATTTGCTTGCTACATATGATCAGGCTACAATTGCCAGTATCGAACCAAAATAAGCAGTTTAAAAATAGAGCTTTGATTGTGGTGAAATTTCTTTACAGTTACATTGAACCCAATGCAAACCTGTGGGAGTCCTAGGTTTAGCAGCTCTCTGATTGTTAATCAGCCTCGCAGCCAGAGTTCTGTGATACATTTCAGCCTCTTGCTGTGGCTAATTTGCAACATCCTCACACAACTGGTATGTGCCACTAGGCATTTTAGGTCTTTTATGTTTAAAGACAAGGTAGATGGAAGAAAGCTCAAAACTAGATGCAATTAGGAAGGTAGTTTTTAAAGCACCTCTTCTTTGTTTTAATCTATAACATAATTGAATAGGGGAGTTATGGTATCTTTAATCAATTTAAAAAGTTTATGGCAATTTCACTTCAAAAGAATACTTAAAAAAATACAGTTGGTCACAACTAAGGAATATGCTCTACTATTTGATGGGTTTCACAGTGTGTCCCCACTACGGTGCCCCACCCCAGGAAACGAGCAGAGATCTCTCTGGGCCTTCCTTGTACCCATTGTATTCTAATCCAGTGTTTTTAAAACCATGGGCTGCACCCCATTAGCTGGTCCTGGAGTCAGTTTATTGAGTTGATCACCATCACTAAGAAATGAAGTAGGATAAAACAGAAAACAGAGTACATCACATTTACGTGGGTAAGTATTGTCTTCTGAAACTTTTGTTCAGTTATATAAATGTAAGCACAGTTATCAAATCCATTCAGTTCATCCCTCAAGCAATATCAGAATCATCTTTCTGAAGGGACATCTAAAAAGTGGTTCTTAGCCTCAAACTCTTCACCAAGTTCCCTTAAGAGCCAGAATAAAACTTTTCAAAGGTTTTCAGGATCCCGTAGTCACTCCGACTCCACGGCATTTCAGAAGACATTATCGCCATCTACTCAGCCACTCAAGCTGGAAACAAAAGGTAGTTGTACTGGCCACCCTCTCACCCCTTTTCCAATCTCTCTCTCAGTCTTTCCTCTTTATTCTCACCCAGTCTGAGTCAACGTTTGCCACCTAAGGGGAGCCTTCCCTGACTCCTCAATGGTGATCAGCCTCTGAATGAGCCCTGCCTTTCTTTAGCACACACTGCCCTCATTCATATATTTAAAAAAATAACAGTTCCAACTGAAATTATCTTGTTTATTCTTGTAAACATATTTGGCACCTGTTTCCCCACCAGAGTGGAAGCTCCGTGAACACAGGGACCTGGTCTTTCTTCTTGTTCATTTGTGTGAGATGAGTTCAGGGCTCATGGTAGACAAGTCACCAATCAATATTTACCAAACGAAAGAGTTGTTGAACTAAATTTCTGGCTCCTGAAATGTTGTCTTTTACCTTTTTGTCACAGTACCTGCTATTTCTTCTGCCCCAAATACACTGTATCCATTTGCTTTCTTGGCAGACTTCTCTTTATCATTTAAGATTTCATCTCCTTCCTGAAAAGTTTCCCGATGTTGTGGGACTGAGTTCATACTTGTTCTCAGCTGATGCTACAGCCTCTTTTCCTCACTATTTTGCTGTCATTTTCCTGTTGGGCTTCCCTACTGGGCCACGAGCTTCCCCAGGACAAGGAGAAAAAGCACATGCTTCCTCATGCTTTCTGACTCAACTCCCAGCACTGGGTAGGAGTGGTGGATATTAGGTACACAGAGCCGTTCAGTACGTGGTTGCTGAATGAGCCAACAAATGAAAGAAAGGAGATGATTAGGAAAAAACTATCTGTGATGATGTCCCCTGATTTAAATTGTAAGTAGAATTCTGGATGTTTAGAAAGGGCAGGATCAGTTTGCATGGTGTGTGGAGCCGTGTGTGTTCTGTGGGGTGCAGAGGGGGAGTAGGGAACAAAAGTGTACGTCTTCTGTAGAAAATGCCTTTCTGTTTGCAAAATGGGTCATTTTAAATATCAAGCTGTCTTAGTGCATTTGCAACGTGATGTGATGGACCAGATTCCCTTTTTCATGTGGTTTTTCAGGAACAGAACTTCTAGGTAAACTGAGAGAATGGTGTTAATGATAAAAAAGCTCATGTGCCTATGATTTTAGGGTATGACCTGACCCAGACCAGAACAGTGTGGGGTTTGCACTACTCCCGTGAGAGTCCAGTGCCATGTCAGGTGTGTGATTAATAGAGAATGGCGGTGGAAGGGCAAGAAAAAAGTGTCCTTAAATGTGTGTGTGTGTGTGTGTGTGTGTGTGTGTGTGTGTGTGATTAAAAATATCTTGTTTATCTAGGCTTACATTCTTTTTTTTAAATAAAGCCGTTGCTTGTTCTTCACCCTCTTAAATAAAACTGCCAAGCTGAGAAGAAGCCAAGCCGCTTATAAGCAAACCTATTTTCCTTATTCTTTAAGCTTTTATTAAAAAGCCCCCCCTCACTGGACTTCAGATTCTAGCTACAGAGGATTCTTCCAAGTGGGGGATGAAGGGGGCAAAAGCAGAGACCTCTAAAACACTTAACAAAAGGACTTCTCAAATACTTAATCACATAGGAAAATCTGACTCCCTTCTTTCCAGAGTAAATGATATTAGAGAAGCATATTGGAAATGAAGAACTGCTGTGGGGACAGTCCCTTTGGAAAAGTGCTCCCTTCCCTGCGGATGTAGGGCTGGCAACCTCTGTGGTTCCAGGCTGCCAGGGAGGCTCGCAACTGCACAATTTCTCCTCCAAAGTCCCACCATTGGAGGTTCAGTTCTATGGGTTAATAAGCGGCTCTAGTCAAATGAGCCCTGGTCCACTTACCAGAATAAGCTGAGCTGGGGCCGTATGCAATCCTGTGATTCAGCCCAAAGGGCTGCCCTTGGGAAGCACAATTTTGACAGATGGAAGAATGACAGGGCCTTGTGGAAAGCCCCAAGCGACCTGAGGAAGTGGACGTCCCTATGCTAGGGGAGACAAGAGTCCAACAGGTAAGTCAAGAGTGGAGAAGGAATGGGGAGCAAATGGTGCAGGTGTTCAAGTCTGCCCTGTTCTCGGCTCGTCAAGGCGAGCTCTCCAGTAAGCCGGAGGAGGCAGAGGAGGAAGGATTTTTCTTTTTTTTGAAAAGAGACCAAAAATACGCAATACTGTTATTTTGCAAAAAAATATTAATTTAAAAATTAAATAAATTTCAAGGAAGCAAAACTATTTCATGCTAGACACCATGATTTGTTAAGATCATTGGATCTTTTGACCCTGAAAGTCTCCAACGCTCACGTCACTCAAGATGGGCCCAGAAACAGGCCATCCCGAGTGGGTGGGGTGCAGGCTCTTTCTCAAGGTGCTCAGGTTCTGGAGAGAGGGTGGGCATGTGAGACAAGGTGTTGATGAAAGTCTCTCTCTCTCCAGGTCGTACTCTTTGTAACTTTCTCTCAGCTTGGAAATTATATGGCTTATTTCCAGGGCTATTCTGCTCAGCTCCAGCAGTTAGAGTTTAAGAAGAAATATGAACTCTGGGGTTTGATGTCACATTTTATGAAGATTTCCAGCCATCAGTGCAGAGAGCTCGCATGTATTGAGTAATTAGCTGTGTAACCTTGAACAAGGTACAAGTTACTCCGTTTTCGGTTGTCTCATCTATGGAACAGAAACGATTTCAGTCGTGCGGTATAGTGCTGTAAGAAACCTTACCAGGCTTCGGGCATTGTCACCGGAGGGGGCCGCACGGAGCAGCGTTGGCTGTGATGATGCTGGTGATGGGGAACAATGTGTGTTCTCCCAAGTCGGCATTAGACTCTCTGGTTTGCTATCTTCTTTGAATTCTCAGGACAAATCAATTGTTTTAGATGACCATGTTCAACCCATTTTGCAGTGAAGGCAACTGAGTTAACCGACAGATTAACTAATTTGCCCAAAGACATACAAACAGGAGCCTGTAGGAAAAGCAGGGATTCCAGCCTAGGTTGCCCGGGCACCAAGGCCCTCGTGAGTTCCCACGTCTGCCTTCCAGTAACCCCTCTTGACCTCAGTCCTCTGAAAGCTCCCACTGTTCCCATCGCAGTTCTAAAGCTTCCCCTGTATTCCTACAGCAGCCTGCCTGGTGTTTGCTGGTGAATTTCTCCACATCCTGACTTTTTTATTTTCAGCAAACTTTCCCTTGCTAATCCCTCCTGTTAGCTTTGGGGACACACCCCGCGCTTGCAGGACCGCCTCTCCCCATCTTAAACCAAGCCTCTGCTTTGGTTTAAAGTATCACCTGATGCTTCTGGTTTCCTCCCTTTGCTTTGAGCCCTCGCGGGCAGGAGGCGCCAAGGCTGGGTCCGGAACTCATCAGTCCCGGGGTGGCGGTCCAGGGCTCTTGGGGGAGCACTGACTCCCCTACAGCCCCTTCTTCACTGGGACTCTCGGAAACAAAAGAAAACCGGTTGGGAAAATGAAGAACGTCTGGTAAGACTTTGACCCTAGAAAGAGTGGCAGGGAGACTGGGCTGGGGGGGCCCTCAGAGCCCAAAGTCTGTATTTTTGCAGTGATGGCAGGATGAGAGGGGGTGAGGGGAGATGGAGAGAGGAGAGGAGAGAGAGACACAGAGAGACAGGCGCAGACAGAGACAATGGGGGAGAGTGAGCATAAAAGCCAGAGAGAAAGACAGAGAAAGAGAAAGAAACAGCCACTGACATGGGCAGACAGATAAACTGAGATAAAAGAGAAGCAAATAGGCATAGAAACAGAGACAGGTCAAGATGGAGAAAGTTAAGATAGAAAAAACAAAATCTCATGAGTGGCGTAGGATGGGTGATAGAAATGTGAGAATTCATTAAATCTCTCAAGATTCCAAAGCCAAAATGGAAAAAAATAAACTATGCAGAGATTTGAGCATATACATTCATTAGGTTTGCTACATTTGAAAATGTCAAAGTAGTCCCCATCAGGAGGGACTCTGGTTTGAGTCTTTTGTTCTTCTCTCCTTTACAGGAAAATTCCACTTTTCTTCTTTGTATGCAGTTTCCTGGGACCCTGGGCATCTGCAACTGTCAAGCGTCGCCCAAGTAAGGGCCACAGTTTCTAGATTTGGAAGCATCCCTTGTTCCCAGAAGGCTCGGGTGGGGCCGTGGCTGAGTGAGGGCGGAGGGAGGCATCTGTGGTCCTCCGCGCCCTCGCCCTTCGGCCCCACCGAGGCCGTGGGAGTGCTCTGTGGCTGGTTTCTGCGGGCAGTGCTGGCTGCGGTCACAGCTGGTTGGAAGGCCAATTGTACTCCAGGGCCTAGCCTGGTGCTGGCCTGGTTCAGATGGTGGGTGGCTAGATAGAGGCCAGAAACCTGGGCTAAAGAGTGTGTATGTGTAACAAGCACGTTTGATGCACTGTTTTGGCTGGGCCATAGCTCTGTAACTGGAAAAGGCTTCTTCTGAAGTCTTGGGAGCCTCGAAAGCCTCTGTCTGTCTTCAGGGGAGTCTCAGCAGGGCACAGGATTGGACAGGCACAGGAAGCCTTCTGTGCTGGTGATCAAATGCTCCCTTGCTGCAACCTTCCACCTGTGCCAGGGGCACCCAACTTAATTCTAGGATTTCTCGTCAAATTGAGGGCTTACTCCTCAAGACTCTTTTCTTCTCCATGCACTTCCTCCTTTCTGGGATGCTAGCACAAGTGTAGCTGGGAGCCTAATTTGATCTCCCAATACATTCATGAAATTAAATGTGTTCTCTGTATTTTACTTAAACTTAGAGAATCCCCAGACTTGCCCGAACCCCTCCTCTATTTGACAAAGATTCCTAAGAACTCCACTCTCTGGAAGTCCCACTGAACTGGCTCAAGCCCTGTTGTGGATTCTCTTAGGAATTCTAAAATTTGTGGTGTTTAAGGAATATTTCTAGCCCAAACCACCAGAAGTTCTCCAAATAGGCTTCCAACAGTGCATCATTCAGAACACTGAACAGCTCTGGTTCCAAAAGGAGCACATTCCTAACTTCCCCAAAAGGAATATTCTCCCAGAACTTATTAAATCAACTTTGTGCCTTGACCCCCCTTCCAGGATGGGCCAAATACAGATGAATTAAGATCATAGAGTTGTAGTATTAAAGTCAAATGCACTACTTACAAGCCAGTTGTTCGGTCCAATCTTGTACTTTAACTAGTTGCTCAGCTCTTATTATTTTTTATATATCCTATGATCCTGTTAGGGGATAAGGCAGGATGACATGCCATCTCTTTTGCAGGGTTCCCTGTCAATTCAAATTCGAATGGTGGAAATGAACTTTGTCCAAAGGTCAGGATTGGCCAAGATGATTTACCAGGTGAGTAGCAATGTATTATATTGAAAAATGAGTGCTTTCTAGAAATGTACCTGTTGTATTCTTTTATTTGGCAAAGTTGTGGAAGGGAATAAAACCAATCTCACTTCAGGCTTTTTATTTTGTGTTCCCTTTCTATAGGGTTTGACTTGATTTCCCAGTTCCAGGTAGATAAAGCGGCAACCAGAAGAGCCATCCAAAAAGTAGTGGGATCCACCGCATTACAAGCGGCTTACAAATTGGGAAATAATGTAGACATCAGGGTCCCAACCAGGTAATATGAAAAATATTTCACCTAATTATCTGCTTCAAATACATAAAAAAAATGAAAAGCTATCCAATGTTAAAGAATCTTTTCATGCTCAGTGTTTCTTGGATCATGATATTATTTAAAGATGAGGGACTTTATTTGCCTACCAGTCATCAGTGTCTGAATGTGTGAATGCTCTTCGTGTGTTCAGTATGCAATTTACTTTCCACTCCAGGAAAAAAAAAAAAAATCACTGAGACTATTACACATTGATTTAGGACATGTTCTTATTACTCTCCTCTCTGTTTTTATATAATTTGTCTGGTTTTGACTGAAAGGCCCCTCTGTGGAAAGTGCCAGAAGTTAAGCATAAATTTAACTAGGAACCACAGCCTAAGAGGACCTACAGTGGCGCTGTTCAATGTCCTGGTGCTGAAATAGAACCGCAAACCCAGGGCTTGGCTCCTAGCAGGAACCAGAGGCAAAACTGGACTAATGACGACAGAAACAATGGTAGCGATGATAATAAAATAAAATATCCTCCACCTCATTCATTCCTTTCTCTGGAACTAAGTCTTTCATCCTTTATTCAACACGGAGGAGCTTTAGTGCATGTGTAAGTGTTGAGGCACGCCATTGTTATGAATGAGCTCCAAGAGTTTCAGTTTAAAATCACCTAAATACTTGTATGTGAATATTATGATCATTGTAGGTGATAGTGCATTGCAAAAGAATTAAGATCCCTTTGGTGGATGAACAAGAAGGTTAGGGCTTTGATAGAAATTAAGATGTAAAGGTAAATAATGATGACCTAGAACATTAAAGAGTACTATAGAAACTCTAAAAGTTCATGATAATGAAAATTTTGGTCAAGATACAATATTCTGATATAGTGCCAGACTGCAGATAAAAATTCATGTTTTGAACATCTACATTTTATAAAAAGATAATAGTGTACTATATAAGCTCTTTGGTCTATATTTACTAATTAACATTAAATCTCATTCACCACAACCCTGTGGTGGGGTCATCATGATCTGTATCTCATGGAGGAGTAAACTGAAGCCAGAGAACTTAGGTTATTTGTATAAGGTCACAGGGCTGGGAAGGGCTGGGGGTCTGAAGCCCACTCAGAGGATGCACGTCCAATAGCTACTGACCCTGGAAAACCACTCACCTATAGGAAGGTTAAAGACATGACAGCAGCTATGGACTGTTTTTGCTTTCCATGCCCAGAAGTGGCAGTTGTGCTCTTCAATAAGCTTTTAAAAACTTGTATTTTTCTTTCTTTAATAAATAATTGAATATGACACAACCTTTACCTCCCCACTGACCTGATTTCCTCTTCTACAATTTAAGGAACAACCCATTGTCCTTAACTCACTCTGAACTCCCGACAGCGACCGACTCGGGGCCACATGGACCCCCTTACCGCCTGCTTGTCTTCCTTGTTCTTGTCTGATTGCCTGCACAGACCACTAAGTATTTCCCCAGTCTGTAATCAATGTCCCATCTTCTCTGTCTCCTTTACTCCCTGCCCCTAATAAAACCCTTATTTTGCTGGCAACACTTAATAATGGATGAAAAAGGCGGCAGAAAGAAGGAGAAGAAGGAAGAAGGGGAAGATCCAGAGGGCTGAGGTAGATGGGGGCCCGAACAGGTGATAGGGTCTATTTGTAGGCAGGTTGCTTAAACTCTCTCTGCTTCAGGTCCCTCAGTTTAAAATTAGGGGTAGTGACAACTGTGTCACAGAGTTGCCATGAGGAGTAAGTGTCAATAAATGGAGAGGGCTTGGGCAGAGCCGGGTTCGCACTGTGTGGTGACGTGTTTATTCCGAGCAGACGACAGACCTAGGAGCAGAGAGGGTCTGCAGGTGGGCGTCTTTTCCCCTTAGTGGATTCCTTCTTTTCAAGCTGCTCTCCACATCCTCTGCATCCAAAAACCAGGTGGCAAGACAGGCAGGGACTGAAATGGCTCTCAGACCATGCAGGGAGTAGACCGTCCTGGTTTACAATGAATTTCTATGCTGGAGGATATAGGCTCCGAGGGAGGGAGAAGAAACTATTAGCAGGCTCTTCATGGGAGTGGCAAGTATGGCATGTGAGCTAACGTGATAGGGTTGAAATTTATCCTTATTTATCTTTCCATTTTTTTGGAAACATCATGAGACACATAATTTTTTGCTGCTCTTTATTCTCTATTTTAGGCATAATAGTTTCATAATCTCAATTCATACAAACAGGCTTGTTTGCCTTAACAGATACAGTTCTTAGCTTTTCTTTGGGTTAAGGTCATAAGCAAATCTTTCAAGGTCTAAAGACTTATCTCTTATTCAAACCCTTATGGTTCTTCTTTTAAGATATTCTGTGCAGATTGTAACATAGCGAAATAAATCATTTATAGATCCAGCTTCTTGTAAATTATGTATGCTGTTGAGTTTACTTATTGATGTGCATAGCATATTTGCATGAACAGAATCTCAGGTATTCAAAAAAGACATTGTGAGTGACGACTGTTCCAATAATTAGGCTTGTGAGGACTTCTAAATGGTCTAGATATATACAAATACATATATATCTTCTTAGTGTAAACACAGGAATTTCCCCTCTTATACTGAATTTCTGCTCCTCTTATACTATGTTAGCCAAGTTTAAAAGATTAACAACACGATAATTTTGAGTATATTTGTATACACACAAACACATTCACACATATATAATCTTCATGTGTATATAGTGATACAGATGGATACCCTGGTTTAACACGTCTGTAAACGAAGTATTCTTCAAGCAACCCTGACCACCACCCCATTAAAAAACAGGTGGCATTATATAATCAAGTCAGAGATGAATGGGGATGTTATGTCCTACTCTCCCTTCAACACAATCTCATTGTTCATTTAACAGGAAAGATCGGATGAAGTACAAATTGGGAGGGACCCCCTCAGTTAACTTCATGATGTCTTTGCAAAAGAGTCACTTATCCCAGTTACTGTAACTTCTAGAATCAAAACAAAATAGATGTGTTTTTTTCTAGGGAATGATAAAATTCTATGGCTTTGCTCAGTATGTCAGTGAACAAACAGGTGTTTTAAAAAAATCCTAGGAAAAGAATGCTCTAAGGAAGAGAAGGCAAAGCCTTAGGATTTCTCTTCCTTCTGGGAAAATCTCATACCTGAACAATAACTATCTTGGCCAAAAGAGAAAAATATGTTCTTTAAGTATCTGGTTAAATCCAGGTCATTTAGAGAAAAGAATATTCAAATAATCTAATCATAATTCAAATGGATACTTGTCAAAGTTCACCACTGAAAAAACTTTTAAAACATCTCCCAGCTCCAAATTAATTGAGGTCAGTTAAATGTATAAACTTTGATAAGGTTTTATAATTACATAGTAGGCAATATGTTATGCAGTCATTAGTGAACCTAAGTTTCTTCTCTGAAGGTTATTCTGGAATATGAATATTCTGGAAAATCTAAAGTCAAAGGAAATATGACAAACAATGTATATTAAAAACAAATATCATGCTAGATGTGGTAGGCATCTCCATTCTGCGGAATAGTTCTTATATTCGCCTTGCCTTCATGAGCTCCAAACTGAATCTTTTAAAATGTACAAAGTTCCTGTACACTTGATAGACATGAAAGATATTAGGTGAATTGAAAGCTTTGCAGTGAGTACAGCACACATCACGAGTGATCATTTAAAAACTTGTAGTGACAAAGACATTCAACCAGTATTATAAATAAAAACACATCATTTTAGAAAATAATGGCTAAGGAAGTACTTGGGGGAGAAAAGAGTACAGATGAAAAGTTTCACATTTTTGTTCTTTCTATAAAACTAACAAAGCAATGAAATTTGTTGATGTAGTTGAACTGTTTTATTGAAGGTTTGCAAAAATATGTGTAGAAAAGTTATATGTTTGTTTATGCTATGATAAAGAGTGATAAAGTTTTATGGTTAGTCAAAGTAACATTAGGAAATCTTACTAACAAGAGTTATTCCACTTCCTGCTACACATTCTTGGAACTGAGGAATTTTTTGGTTTGGAAGATTGCTTGATTTGATCCCAACAATGTATGTTAATGGAACTGGCAACAACACATGCCAGTACAATACATTTATATGCTATTCATTTTAGTTTGTAACAAATTAAATTGGTATCCACTTAGAGATTTCTTCTTACCTTTTTCTTCTTTACTTTTCACAAGAAGGAGGCTACTTAACAGAAATTTGACCTGAAGGACGGTATTTGGAACTTTGTATCCTGGTCCATAACTATTCACAGAAATGTCAAATTGTATTAGTTAGCAAACAAAATTAATTGGCTTCTAGTTTTCCTAGCATTTCTCTCTTACTTAGGAATTTTGCTATACTTAGATGGAGAAAGGTAGAAAAATATGACCTATAAACCCTTGAAAGATGGTGTTTACATTTAATATGTTCTGGTTTTTTAAAGTTCAGTCTTGGGCGTTTAGCAGCTTGGCTTCAGCAGAAGATTTAGGTAGTTGGGGCACCAGATCAGTTTCCACGTAGACTGGAGATACCTTAGGATCACGGATGGTCTCTTACTGCCAGTAAAGCAGAAGTTGCCATGTTACATTTAGCCGGCAGACTGAGGTACGACTGGGCTGGAGCAGAGAACTAAGAACTGCTCATCTTTCCTTTATCACACGTCCGATGACAAGCAGCCAGCTGCTACTTTAACATCACTCTTTGAACACCCGGGAAGAAATAAGCATTCTCAGTGTGAAAGCGCTTCTCAGGTCTGCAGTTACTGGTTCTCAAAGTGCTTATGTGGGTTTAGGATATAATTGTGGAGGGGAATACCCAAGCAATTATGACAATAAATACTCCTAGTCTGTTGTAATAAAATAAATAATTTAAAAGCTCCTTTAACTAAATGGTTTCATAAACCAGTATTGCTGAATTGGATTCCAAACGATCTCTTATTTGTGGAAGAAATGTTGCCAAGAACTTGGCAGGAATGTATTTTTTGGCTGAGATGGAATTGCTGAATAGTAGTAGCTCTTTGGCTAGTATAAAGGGTCATACTGTTGGGAGCATGTGGCATTGGGAACCCTCTTTAGCTGGGAGGGAGGGTTTTTTTAAATGTGTATTTTAAGATGGAGCAGTAATGTATACGCATGATTGGACCTCTGTGAAGGTCTTTATGAAGAGCCATGAAAGAACAAATAGTACATAGTTTTCACACTGTAGCTTTTCTGTAGGTCTAGACTCTCAAACAGCATAATAAGGGAACATGGTAAAAGCATGGGTGCAGAAAACAAGATTTATATTTACTGTTTTAAAATTTCACTCAGGCATTTATATCCCAGTGGACTGCCTGAAGAATACTCCTTTTTAACTACTTTTCGGATGACTGGAAGCACACTTGAAAAGAACTGGAGCATTTGGCAGATCCAGGATTCCTCAGGGAAGGAGCAAGTTGGCGTGAAGTTTAATGGCCAAACAAAATCTGTTGCATTTTCATACAAGGGACTGGATGGAAGTCTCCAAACCGCAACCTTCTCGAATTTGCCCTCCTTGTTTGATTCCCAGTGGCATAAGATCATGATTGGTGTGGAAAGGAATAGCGCTACTCTTTTTGTCGACTGCAACAGGATCGAATCCTTACCTATAAAGCCAAGGGGCCAGATCAATGTTGATGGCTTTGCGGTGCTGGGAAAACTTGTGGATAACCCTCAAGTTTCTGTCCCGGTAAGTATGAAACCATACACTATGGTAGGCTGACACAAACCCAGATTGCTACAAATGAATATCGCAGACGTCTTTGATAATCTGAAGGTCTTAAATAATGAACAGTCAATTTTGCACATTCATTCGCAAGCACTTACTCAAAAAGCCTTCAGTGCCTGTGTTGTGCGTAGCACGGACCAGGTGGAAAGGGGAATCAGAGGAAGTTGTTCGATGGCTCCTGGTCTTGAGGAGCTTAAAGTCTACTTGGAAGATCTACATGCCCACCGGAAACACCCAGAATCTTTCTGAGGCCACATGAAAGAAAGCTATATGGGGGCGGTACATGTTGTGTATGTAAGATTGAAAACATCCAAAGTAACATTCAAAAGAATGGTGGATTTCAGCTGTGACAGACAGGAAGCAATGGTGGATTCATGCTTCTTGGAAGCAGTGAACCTTGAAATAGAAGGACTAGAATGGGCAAAGAAGAGGATAAAGTGTCTTCTAGCCTAGGGAAAGAATATTACAGGAAAAAGAAGTAGAGAGTAAAACCCCAAAGGTCTAGAACGGCTGGTGTGGATGAAATGTGTGTGTGAGTGTGTGGGGTGCTGATGGTGAGGGGTACTGACTGCAGACGGTGAGGGATGAGGTCAGGAAGCCGTGTGCTGTCTGATCAAAAAGAATGAAAATTTTACAGATGGAACAATATTTATTTATTTAGAAGTAGGTCTTGTATGACATAAAAGTAAAGGCTTTTAGAGCTCTGTTCATGATAATATTACTGTATAGGGATCCATGGTGTAAAAGTAAGGAATCATATAATGATGCAATGGCTGTGCCAACAGGTACCATACAGTTCATTGTTTTAAACTGCTAAACTTCCAGCGAACGATTCTTTGAAAAGATATTTTATAATATTATGAGAGGAATTAAAAAAAATATATCTTACAGGACAAGTGTTCTTTGGGGGAAGCTAAAGCATTGCGAGCTCAATAAATAAGCTATTGATGCCAATATTTCTCCCTCCCTCCATCTCTCTCTCTCTCTCTCTCTGATGGAGCTGTTAAATTCTAGTCACAAAACTCATATCATAGAGCATAGCAGGGGTGATACAGTGATTTTGAATTGTTTCTGTGTACTTCTCCAAAGAAAAAAGGGTTATCAGGCATCTCAGTACTGGAATTGTTCAAATAACTTATTTTCAAGGGAAGACTTGCGATTAGTGTAAAGGGTAGTGTGAAATTTCTATATTCTGTGACAGACAGGAAGCAATTTGTAGCTGCAGCGTTTACTGCTCTGGCTTGTAGACACTTGAGAAAGTATGTCTTCAACTAATGAGTCATCACACCTCAAGTAGCTGGGTTAGAAAACCAGCGGGACCACTGTTGTGTCGTCCTGAAATCTGATGCAGTAAGATCATGGCAATGCAGTGGTTTTCAAATGACACCACACTTTGGGAATATCTGTGTAATTTCTGGACCACGGGTGAGGGGAAGGACACCTTAGTGTACCTCATCACTGAACATCAGTCAAGTACTTGCAAAATTGATTAATTGACTCAATGGCCTTGAAAAACATTCCAAGTCATTATGATTCTGAATTCTGGATGCTAAGTGCTATTAAATTGTCTGATTGCCAGATGAATAATACTTCAGTATTACTCGATTATATCACAGTCTAGCCAACGTTGTTATGGCTGACAGTAGGGTTTTTTTTTGCCAAGTCTAGTCTCACATCACAGTGGAGACTGGTTAGGACCAGTTAGTTATCTTCTGTTTTGTTCTGCCACGTGCAGGCATGCAGTAAAGAGCCTGACAGCTGTTGTATTTTGCCTGTGGCCCACCAGGGAGCTTCCCAAAGCCAGTACACTGTAGCCAATGTGAAAAGTACTAGAAACAGGCAGGAACAGTTTTTTTTCCTTAAAACTGAATTTAGACTCCAGCACAAGGAAAAACAGAAGAGAGTTGAGCCGAAAGCCTCATTAAATTTCCATATTTGGTGATATGGCGGTGGAGGTGGTAACAATAACTAAAATAGGTCAAGATTATAGACCAAAAAATTCCTACTGACAGCGACAATGTCAAACTCAAATTTGTCACAAAGAGGTATTCCTCAACTTTCACCCCATAAGACAAAGAAATAGAAAACTATGTAAGAAAAGCCCATTTATGCTTTTTTAGCATCTTAATGTCCTTTAACATGCCAATTTAAAGTTTCTAAAATTCTTTCACACCCATCAACTTATTTGATCCTTGCATTAATTTTCTAAGACAGCAAGCACAGATGGGACTGTTTCCATTTCTCAGCTGGGAGGTGACCTCAGGCTTTCTTGGCATGTAAGAAACCATGTTAGGCCTACCATTTCTAACCTGCTTTATTTTCTGCTATGCCAAACTAGCCTCCCTTTGAGAAAAATAAAAATATGTATAACCACATATCTTTCCTTATCAAACATCTCCTCATTCTCATTCTAGAAGGCCTTCATGATTCACAAAAATTTTTACTTTGCAGGACAAAGAGTTTTTTTTTAAAAAAGAAGATTGTACAGTATAATCCATGTCTTCAGGCATTAATCCTTCTTGTTTATTAATTTAGTACACTTTTGTTGTGTGCCTGTACCCTGGGTATACACGGTCAGCTGAATCGTAGACCTCGTTCCCCTCAGTTTGGTCTGTTGAGGGTGAAGGGTTACAGGAAGTAAACAATGGCGACAGCTGCGGAATAGACACGTGGAGAAAGCTCCCCGCTCAGGTCAGGGCAGGGAGTCAGGAGAGTGGAGTTCAAGGATGTTTCCTAAAGGAGATGATGTCTGAGGGGAATCCTGGGGGCTGGAAATAAGCATTATCCCCAAGGTAAGGTCCAGTGCTCTGGGTGGAGGGACTTTCACTTGGCCACACTTATGCATTCTTCCCTTTCCAAGTTCTATTAGTCCTCAGCCGGTTCATCACTCTTCTTGACTAAGGATAGTCAAGTATCCATACAAGTCCCCAGCAAAGCCCAAGTGCCACACGTCCCTAAGCCCTTGTCTTTATTGACGGCCTATGATTTCTCACCCACTTTTGGCTGACACCTGAAGTCGCTGACAATGAAGTGACAGTGACCACCTGTGCCTTAGAAGACTTAGGAAGTGAGCAGTACTGGGGTCCACAAATTTTGAAGACGTGTATTGATAGAAAAGCCCTCCCTTGATTTAGATGCAGCAAAAATTCAATATTAATGCATGAGAAATTTTAAATGAAAGTGAAATGTGCCCATAGCATGAAAACAATAAGACTCTGTGTAGTTTTCAATTTTTCTTCATGAAATTAGATGCAGTCTAATCTGTGATACTCCACATTAAGTAAGTGCTTTTCTCAGAACCAACACGTGCTTTTCTTCAGTGAATATATCAAAAGCAAATGTCCCTTCTCAAGGCACTAACAGATGTCAGATGTAGCCCTAGGAGCTACGTTATAAAAGATGGATTTGAAGATGGCATTTGATGGAGCACTAATGCCAAGACTCATTTATATTCACTTGTTTGTGATTTTCTCCTATCTGTTCTATCTTTTGTCTCCTTCCCTTTTCTAAATTGAAAAAGGAAACCAATTTCAGGAGGTTTTCATAAAGCTTGCAGTATAGCTGCTCACGTGATCTACAACTCAAACACCTTCTTATCATTCATGGTTATTTAGAGGGCTCAGAGCATTTTATATTTTTTCCCAATGTACTGCTATAATACACTGTTAGTCTGATTTTACAGCAATAAATCCCTCATTTGCTATTCTCCTTTGTGCCCATATTTTAGGATGGTGCCATTTATCCCACTGCAAAGCTCGGCTTCCTGGCAGCATACCATAAAAGCATGTTATTTTATGACAGATTCTTTATTGTTTGCTGTCAGTGTGATTGCCTAGGAGAGTTATTTGGTACAGTTCTATTAGAAAACAAAGTTAGCTGGTCTCCCTTTGCAGAGATGTACATTAGGGGTTTGGGCTTGTTTGAGGAAGGATAAAAGTTTATTTGGCTTTACAAATACATGATTCAGACCCGTTTTCTTTTCACCTTCACATATTCCAAATAAACCAATATAGGACATGATTAATCAGACAGATACAATGCTTTCGAAAGTATATTTCAAGTGTGTGGTCCTGTGTTATTTTTGTTAAACTCAGAGAAAATGTCAGAGCAAATAGGAAGGACTGGCAAAACTGGTGATGGAGAAGTTGTCATTTTCTCCGCCCCACAGAACTAAACTGTACCAACCTCCACAAGTAAAAACAATGAAAGCTTCATGAATGGGAAAATTGATTATGAGGTTGTGGTTAAGATTATTTCTGGGATTTAAGAAATATTCTAGGAAAGTTATGTCTTTAATGATTTAAGAAATGCATAATATCTACTGTGCATTACATATAAACTATTAAGTTTGTTTATGAAATTGTTTTTGACAAGTACACCATTTACAAATACTCTTTCACTTGAAGTACTAAATAAAGATAAAAGAAATGATAGTGTTATCTGTACATATACATAGGAAATACTTTCATAACACTTTGGTGTGATTTGATTGGAATCCTTTTGAATACTGACTGCCAAAGCAATTTTTTTAGAGAGAAAACCTCACCTGATGCATTCTAGACCATATTAACAGGATCAGCTGGATTTTCCACTAGGTGGCAGGGAAACAAGAGCTCACAGAGAAGGATCTGCTGACACAGGGGCAGCCGGGATTGGGGAAAGGGACCTCGGGTGACCAGGAGAAAACTACACGATGGTCACACTTGCTTTTAATGGAAAACTACAAACACTAAAAATCTTTATTGGCCTCAGCTGTGCCTATACTGTTGCAATTTTTTTACAAAAATGGGCTACTAGGCTTTCAATTAAGATATATATGGGCTAAAATCATGAAGAAATCTTTGTTGAGTAGACTGGGAGGCTATAAGGTAGGAGATGAATTCCTTCAGTTTCTGTTAATCTCTATGTGTGTGGTTTCTTCGGTTGCAATGCAGTGTAAGTAGCACCATGAGCTCCCAAAG